TTCATTGAGAGGTGCTGATCGTGTTTTTATTTATCCTATCTTTTATTTTTTTCGGTTTGCCTTTTGCTGAGGGACCGAATTCCTCTTCTTTTTTGGGTCGAAATTTTCGAATTTATTTCGAATTTTTCATTAAAAAAAAAGTGTCATCTTGTTAGTCCTTTGTTTGATTTGTTCGGTTATTACCTTTTGTTGAGGGGCCGAATTTCTTTTTTGTTTCGATTTTTTTAGTCTTGTTGAGGGGTTTGAATTTTCGAATTTTTCCCCTATTATTTTCGAATTTATTAGAGTCTTAAAAAAAAAAAAATTATGATGTCGAACCGTGAGAGGATTCAAGCCTTGGAGGACAACATGAAGATCATCGGCGATGGTCAACATGCTACCAACGAGAACTTGGGAAGGATCGAACTAATGGTCCAGGACTTGGCCGGGCAACTAACACGCATGAACATGCAGCCAAGGAAACGACACGGGTCGCGGTCCACGGCAGTCAGCACCGGGACCGAGCGCGAGGACGATCACCGATCGCGGGGCTCGCACGCATCACACGCAGATCACCATCGCGATGGCCGACGACGACACGAGGGACGCGCACATCACGACCGTAGGCGCGAAGTAGATGACGACCGGCAGTCGTACGCATCGTACGCATCGCGGGCCTCACACGATGAGCGCCAGGCACGACGCGATGACCGAGAGTGCTACAACGAAGGGCGTGCCCGATACCACGATCGCAACGATCCACGGGACGACGGGGCGGGCTCACGGCCAAAAATTATTACGCCCACGTTCACGGGAACAGATCCGGATGCATGGTTGAGTCAGGTTGTGCAATTCTTTGAGATCAATGATGTGCCAAGGTACGAACGAGTTCAAATTGCTGCCTATCACCTTGATGGGGAAGCAAACGTTTGGTGGCAATGGGTGGTGCACAAAAATCATGGCGAGCACATGCGATGGAGAGATTTTGAAAAGGAGCTCATTACGAGGTTTGGCTCGAGTGACTACCATGACTACAACGAGGCTTTGTCGAGAATCAAACAAGTGGGTAGTCTAAGGGATTATCAAAAAGAGTTCAAACGCATTGCTAGTAGAGTACGGGACTGGCCCGAGGCTGCGCTAGTGGGAACGTTTGTTGGAGGACTTAAAGCTGAACTGGCAGCCGAAGTAAGGTTGGACAGGCCAGGCTCGATGCGAGCAGCCGTTGAATCGGCTAGATTGCACGAAGAACATCTTGTGGCGGTACGCAAGGCCAAGCCGAGCGACGTGCGCACAGAGATCAAGCGCACGAACGCCGCAACCGAGGAACTGACAGGGCGAACGGAAAGCAAGCCGATGGGCGAGATTGTTCGAACGGCAAGCAACATACGACGGCTTACCGACGAAGAGATGCAACGACGGCGAGAAAAAGGCCTTTGCTATTCGTGCAACGAAAAATTTACGCCAGGCCACAGGTGCAAGGGTAAGGAGGTCTTTTTGTTGGAATTTGAGGAAGAAGAAGAACCAAGAGAGGAGTCCTTATTACATATGGTTAAAAGCAAGAAACGTGGTCCGAAGATGATCACATTCACGGCTGAAGTGGGAGGAAAATTGGTGTAAGTATTGGTCGATAGCGGATCTATGCTAAACTTCATTGATGAGGAGTTGTCTAAGGAAATCGAGATTCCATTCACCAAGGTGAAACCTTTTGGAGTTAAGGTTGCAAACGGAGAAACACTACGAGGAGATATTTTATTCAAGGGTGTAAAGTTGAAGGCTCAAGGTCAAAGGATGAGAGTGGATCTCTGTGCCTTGCCATTGAAGGCAGCTGATATAGTGCTTGGATGCCAGTGGTTGGAGACTCTTGGTCCAATCACAACTGATTATTGGAAAGGAACTATGGAGTTCGGGGGGTCAAGCAAGAGGGTCAAATTGAGGACTGAGGATCCAGGCGGGTCACTTGATGAAGATAACGGGGATGGTCGAGGTGGGAAGCTGAATTTCCTATTCCT